AACTCGAATTAACCAGAATGCTGGCAGTTTTCAGCTTCAACACAAAAAAGCTAGCTAACAAACATCACACAACATGGTTTAGACTAGTTTGTTGCTACTTATCAATTCAAGTTTCCTTTATCTTAAGAATCCAGAGCCGTAGCTTTCCACAATCAAAATAAAAAGATTTTGTTCCCAAGCTATTCTGACTAGCTGAGGCTTTATTTCAAATTCTTTTAAAGTTCATGTCAAACACAAAATTTCTCCCTAAAAGGGCAAATTTAGAACTTAATTTTTAAATGAATTGGAAATAAATATAAGTGGGAGATTAGTATTTCACTTATATGTAGAATCTAATGAACAAAATAAACAAAATAGAAACAGAGTCATAGATACAAAGAAGAGACAGACTGACAGCTGTCAGAAGGGAGGGAACTGGGGGGCTAGGTGAAAAAATTAAGAAAAAAATCACACAAAAACCTCATAGACACAGACCACAGTATGGTGATTACCAGAGGGAAGGGAGGTGGGGAGGGGAGGCAGAAGAGAATACAGGGGGGATATATGGTGAGGGAAGGGGTCTTGACTTTGGGTGGTGAACACACAATACAACACACAGATGATGGATTATAGAATTGTACACCTGAAACCTACATAATTTTATTAACCAGTTTCACCCCAATAAATTCAATAAAAATTTTTAAAAATGTCTCATTAAAGAACAAATTTTTTTTTTCTGCTTAAAGCCTTTATCTTTGTAAACTTTGAAAAAAAGATTTTAATAGAACTTTAAAATCAGCATTATGCACCTATCTGTCGGGAATAAAACTGCTTCAGGATATATAGAATGTCTTGCATAATACAAGTCATTATCTTAAGGAATAACACTAAACTGTATTTCATTTTACTGTAAATATAAAAGAGAAATCAACAGCAAAATCCAGATTGTGAGAAACTGCATAGGATAAACAATCTGTTTTCTTCTTCAAAGAAATTGTGAGGGAGAATTTAAAAATAAAGATCGGGGGAAACCAAAGGATTCAAAGAGACTTTTTAAAACCTATTTTAAAAAACACCTAAACAAAGAACACTAAACTACAGGGATACATGCTTGGGTGATAAAACTATGACAAAAATAAAGAAATGATAACCCTAAAAGTCAAGGCAGTGTTTACAGTCTTACAAGAAGAGGAGGGAGGGACTTGGGTTTGGGAAGCAGCCCCTGGAATTACTGACTAAACTCTAATTCTTGAACTGGACAGAGTAGTTATAGGGTGTTTACCTTGAGTAATTTCTGTGTCAGTGTTGTATTTCACAATTAAAAAAAAGATTTCAAAAATAAAACTGCAATCTAGAAGAGTCACCAATGCAGCCAGTATGTATTTTTATGCAAATATATCCCTTTTCTCACATTCACACTCACACCCTTAAATCAAACACATTGCACCTGAATTTTCACAAATAAAGATCCCATGACACCTGAGCAGAGACATTTACTCTGCTGGTTTCTAGCCATTGTTTAAATCTGATTTTATAAGGATGCTGATTTTAATTCTGCATCCTCAAGATAAATATGACCTTTGTCTGTGCCCACTGACAAAAAAAAGTTCTTTCATACAGGGTTTTGCTTTGATCTCTTAGACCCTTTCATTTACTTCAGTCCCAGGAGAAAAGCCAATTAAAAAATTCATACAGCGCTTAGGGAAGGTGTTATGGGCTGAATCATATTCCCCTAAAATGCGTATGTTGACATCCTAACCTCCAGTACATCAGACTGTAACTGTATTTGGAGACAGTCTTTAAATTAATTAAAATGAGGTCCTTTGGCCCGGCCAGTGTGGCTCAGCAGTTGAGCATCGACCTATGATCCAGGAGATCAATGACTCTCTCTCATCATTGATGTTTCTATCTCCCTCTCCCTCTCCCTCCTCTCTCTGAAATCAATAAAAATATATTAACAAATAAAAAGAAAGATAAATAAAATAAAATGAGGTCATTTGGGTGTGCCCTAGTCCAATATGACTGGTATCCTTCTAGGAAGAAGAAATTAGGGCACATATGCACACCAAGGGAAGACCATCTGAAGACACAGGGAGAGAAGACAGCCAAGGAGAGAGGCCTCAGAAAAAACCAACCTTGCTGACACCTTGAGCTTGGACTTCCAGCCTCCAGAACTGTGAGAAAATAAATGTCTGTTGTTTAAGCCACCCTGTCTGTGGTACCTTGTTATGGCAGCCCTAGCAAACTAATTAGTACAAAACATAAGAGAGAGGTTAAAAACAAAACAAAACAAAAAATCCTACAATTTTACAATTTTTTTGACTCATAATATGTAGTGAAAAGAAAAGCTTAAGAAAATTATGAGTCATAAGTAAAGAAAGGAGAAATAACAGATTACATGTAAGAAGAAACACCCCTAACAGCTAAGCACAGAGGGCAAGACACAAGGGAACCAGCAGGAAAGAAACTGGCTGCTGACTGAATTGACGGGCAGGATTCAGCACTTTCAATGTGGTTCCTGGAAAAAAACCCAGAGGAGAATTTTGAGCTAGATTCTCTCGTTCATTTTCTAAATGAACTGAAAACAAATGGAGGTGATGGGTGAGATCAAAGTGGCTTTCTTAAAGGGAGTAATGTCCTCTGGCCCAAGGACTTAAATGAACTTTGGATTTATCATTTCCCTGGTTTGATACGGTTGGGGGTTAGGCAAACCAGCAAACCATCAACTAAGGAAATGCAATTCTCAGGCTGGGACATCGACAAAGATTGTGCAGTGAAAAGTCAATGCTCTGGGTGTTACATACACCCATGGAGCCTAATAATCTCAGAGTGGAGCATGCTTTGTTGATTAAGTACAAGTTTCCTGAAAAGGGATATCACTGCAGAGACTGCAGAGAGCTGTTTGCTGGATCTGCCCTCCATGCTCCTATTCGCATTTCATCATTCCACGAACAGACACAAATGGAAATAAGATAGAGACCTGCCTGTTTCCTTTCGTCTTTAACAAAAAAATAAGCTATACTCTGCATTCAGAAAAACATCATACAAAACTGAGAGGCAAAGCTATCTAAACAGAGATGAGAATCAAAGGAGCCCAGAGATTTTAAATCTAGGTAATTATTTTTCCAACAATAAGCAAAATGGCTCCATTCTCTTGTGTCCTAACTAGAAGAATCCCAACATCCTCTCAGGCAGTGATATAAACCAATCGACCATCCAATTAGTTCACCTTAAATTTAGAATAATTTCTGGAGGGACTGGCGTAATTATTATATCTAGGTAACTTGTCAAAATTAATAGATTTTGTTTTAAGTCTTTATTAGTTAGAGATATACAGATATATAAAAATGCATTTACTGGAAAAATGTCCCAATGCCTGGGATTTGCTTTAAAATACTACACACACACACACACACACACACACACACAAAAGTAAAGAGAGAAAAGATGGTCAAAATGTTCATAACTATTGATGGTGGATAATGGGTATGTGAGATTCATTATAGTATTCCTTTTGCTTCTGTATATGTTTGAAGTTTTCCACAATAAAAAGTTTTCCTTTATTTGTTAACCTGTAATTGAAAAACCCAGTTTGTTTCATGTTGTCACTTGAATAGGATAATGTAATTTAATTATTTACTTATATAGAGTTTAATTTGAATAAAAAAGCTTTGTGACAATAACATGTTTAAATTGAAAAGCAGTGAACATAGGCTTTGAAAGTAACTTGGGAAAATGTTTACAAAATGACACAATGTTTACTTTTTAACAGTAAGATACAATGTTGTATATATGTGATACCAGCTATGGACATCTGTAATACTTTCAGCAATAATGATAAATTAAGAAATCAAAAATAATTAAAAATTGAAAAATAAATAAATAAAAATATGTTATATGCATAGGACAAAACAACACTGAAAGGAAATACACCAAAATGAAAACAAAATTTACCTGAGTGGAGTTTAAGGGTGATTTTTTTTCTTTTTTGATATATTTATCTACTTACAAGTTTTCTAAAATGAGTATGTATCAAATTTATAATCAGAAAAAGAAAGCAAATATATAGAAATGGCAATATAATTATGGCAAGGCAGAATACATGGTCTGAACACTATTCAGAAGAACATAAACAATTAGTTAAAACTCACTACACTAAACATTGGGTCTAAAGTAACCCTTTGGTGGAGTTCGGTCTTATGTGCTCTAAGATTACATCATCAGCAGACTGGGGGAAAAAACATACCCCATACATTTGTATGCCTATAATTGAAGAAGGCTTTTATTTGTGTGTAATCTTTTCAGAACTTACCTGACAAGAACCAGGATCTTGAGATTTCTGCCTCCAGGAATATAACTTCCCTGGACTTCCCCAGTAGACCTAATAAGTTTATAATTTTACCAGGGGATCACATTCCCAACTAAATAAAAAAACTATGTATCTACCCTGGACCCAAGATTTTACCTCTGGATTCTCAGTGCTAACCTTAAAGGCAAATTTCAGAAATTATTTTCTGTGATGTAATCAAAATAAGAACCACTTGCACAATAATCCTACAAAACACATCTCCATCAACTCCTATAGTGCACTTACAATTGTTTTTCAGATAACTCAAGGTTTTATTTTTTTTCACAAGTAGTGAGTAATATACTTTTTTTAAAAAAAAAGATTTTTTATTGATTTTTAGAGAGAGAGGAAGGGAAAGGGGGAGAGAGAGAGAAAACAAACCATTGATGTGAGAGCAAATCATCATTGGCTGCCTCCTGCATGCCCCCTTACTGGGGATCAAGCCTACAGCCCGGCACGTTCCCTGACAAGGAATCGAACCAGTGATCTTTCGGTGCACAGAATGCACCGACTGAGCCACACCAGCCAGTGCGTAATATACTTGCTTAATAAATTGTTTATTAAAAAAACTCCCAAAACTGTACATTAGAAGAATCACTGAAAGTTAAAATCATAATAAGTATTTAAAAGATTCTGAAAAAATTTCCCCCAGGGGGAGGAAAATTTTACTTACTTTAATTTCCACAACCTTTCCTCCATGTTCGATGTGTCTCTCTATGTATTCAGAGGACAGCAAATCACTGCAACAACAAAAGGAAGGATGATTAAAGAGGACTTGAAAATGTAAAGCATACGAAAATCAAGTTTACACATATAATCTTTAATGACTCTTAAACTCAGATTTTAAAACAAAAATAAAACTTTATAGGTCTCTCACACACACACACGTGCACACACACACACACACACACACACACACACACACACAGCCTAGTACGTGGAAAGGTTATGAGGTGGAACTGACTAAACCACCTGTCACCCATTGCTTAGCAGAGCTGATTCCATTAATCTTGTTCAGGAGTTCTACGAAACTACCATAGGCACATCATTATTATAAAGGCATTTTATTCCTCCCTTTTAACTTTAGCTGAGGCAATCTGAGGTGTTTTTATGGCTTCATATAAGTTTTTGGAGTATTTGTTCTAGATCTGTGAAATATGCCATTGGTGTTTTAATAGCAATTGCGTTGAATCTATAGATTGCTTTGGGTAGTATGGACATTTTAATGATGTTAATTCTTCCAATCCAAGAACATGGTATATGTTTCCACTTATTTGCATCTTCCTCAATGTCTTTCTTCAATGTCCTATAGTTTTCTGAGATCAGGTCTTTTACCTCCTTGGTTAAATTTATTCCTAAGTACCTTATTTTTTTGTCATTGCAATAGTAAATGGGTTTGTTTTCATAGTTTCTCTTTCTCGTAGTTCATTATTGGTGGATAAAAATACCACCAATTTCTGAATATTAGTTTTATATCCTACTACTTTGCTGAATTCATTTATTAGATCTGATAGTTTTTTGGTGGAGTCTTTAGGGTTTTCTATGTATCACCTGCAATTAATGACCATTTTACTTCTTCATTTCCAATTTGGATGCCTTTTTGTTTCTTCTTCCTGTCTGATGGCTGTGGCTAGGACTTCCAGTAGTATGTTGGAGAAGAGTGGTGAAGGCGGACATTTCTCCTTGTGCCTGATCTTAAGGGAAACGCTTTTAGTTTTTGTCCACTGAGTATGATGTTGGCTGTGGATTTGTCATACATGGCCTTTATTATGTTGAAGTATGATCCTCTATTCCTACTTTATTTATCACAAATGGGTGCTGGATTTTATCAAATAATCTTTATGCATCTGTTGATATGATCATGTGATTTTTGCTTTTCAATTTGTTTCTGTGATGTATCATATTTATTGATTTGTGAATATTGTACCAGCCTTGCATCCCCAGAATAAATTTCATTTGATCATGGTGTATGATCTTTTTAATGTATTGTTGGATTTGGTTTGCTAATATTTTGTTAAGGATTTTAGCATCTATGTTCATCAGGGATATTGGCCTACAATTTTCTTTCTTTGTTGTGTCTTTGTCTGGTTTTGGAATTAGGATAATGCTAGCCTTGTAAAAAGAGCTTGGAAGTCTTCCCTCCTCTTGGGTTTTTTGGAATAGTTTGAGAAGGATAGGTGTTAGTTCTCTGACTGATAAAATTCACCTGTGAAGCCATGCAGTCCAGTTTTGTTTGCTGGGAAGTTTTTTTTGGGTTTTTTTTTATTACTGCTTCAATTTCATTCATTGTTATCAATCTATTCAGGTTTTCTGATTCTTCCTGATTCAGTTTTAGAAGATTATATATTTCTGGGAATTTGTCCATCTCGCCCAGGTTGTCCAATCTTTTGGCATATAGTTGTTCATAATATTGTCTTACAATCCTTTGTATCTCTGTGATGTCAGCCGTTACTTCTCCTCTTTCATTTCTGATTTTATTTGTGTGGGTCTTCTCTCTTTTTTTCTTGATGAGTCTGATTAGAGGTTCATCAATCTTGTTTTTCTTTTCAAAGAACCAGCTCTTGATTTCATTGGTCTTTTGTGTTGTTGTTTTTTTTAGTCTCTATATCATTTATTTCCAGAAACAAAATCATTTTTTAAAAAGACAAAATACCATTAAACAACATGCCCACACATTCAGTCCATTGGAATATGTGAGAATTTAAAGGGTACTTGATCCCATGGAACTTCAAGTCTTATTATGGAAACAAGAAAATACAAAGAACAGATCTCAAGGCAATGTATTATTGAGAGCCTCAATAAATGGAACTGACAATAAATAGAATGCACAAAAAGGAAAGATCTCTGTGAATTAGAACAGTCAAGTCAGGGTTCATGCAGGTTATAAAATTCTATTCTTAGAAGGCGTATAGAATGTCAGGAGGTTGGAGAGAGGCAGAGAAGGACATTTCAAATGAGAAGAACATTTTCCTTTGTAGCAAAGGAAAAACCACAAGTGACTTCAGAGGTACTGAGAAGATAAGCCTGTTTATAGCTGTGGGTTCAAATTGAGGAATCAATATGAACAGTTAGCGACCATGGAGGGCTGTGTGCCAGGCACTGTACTAGGCACTTCAAATGCATTAGTAGCTTACTGAAGTACACAGCCAACTGACAGGTAGGTATAAATATGATCCCATTTGGTAGGCAAGGAAACAGAAGCCTGGAAAGGTTAAGTGGGAAAGTTCCCTGGCTGGTCAATAATAGCACCAGATTGATTTCCTGGTAGGTCTGATTCCTGAGTCCATGCTTTGAACAACCACATCCTCTATTAATAGAAAAGGGTAAAAACAGACTGCTGAGAATTTTTATCATGGCCAATGAACATGAAAGGACTATTCAAAATGAAAGTCCTATTAAAAATACCTAACTGCAGTAGGTAGAGATGATTAGCAAAGCAGATTCATGATAAAAATGTTTCCATTACATGAGTTAGAATGAATTTCTCCAACTCAGGGTAGATTAATGCAAAATTTTACATTTTCATCTATCTGTGTGTTATCATTATGAGAACATCTAATAGAGTAGATTACATGGAAATTCATGAACATTCTGAAAAAGCCATCATCATCATAACCACAGGTGATATGTAAATGCAATATCCCTAATCCAAAAAAGAACAGCTTCTATGTTTATTTTAAATCACTTTCTTCAAATAGTGGAATTACCAATAGCTTAGCTAAGAATGAAACTGCAGTTTAATATCTGAGAGTTGTAAAGGGTAATGATATGACTATAATTTTGAAAAGCATTTAAAATATTTACTTCTTAATAGGTTGCATATTGTTTAGCTTCCCCATTTTAATTTCAAAAAGAAGTACTTCTCTTTGGATTTAATGTAAGCCATATTGTAGCAATGAGAATAGTATATTTGATTTCTATAATGCACATGCATAAAAATAGATGAAAAGAAGTATCTCTGATGCTAAAGATGGAAATTATTTTCCCTGGGATCTCTTATACTTCTAAATGGTATGCATACAGATGAAAAACTTTCCACAATTTCTGCCACATATGGACATGTGTGGATATGCATGGACGGATCCTAAATAACATAAATGTTCCTTTAAAGTATTTTGCCTATACCTTTATTCAACTTTTTCATTCATTCAAATAGGAAACAAATGTATATTTCTAAGTGTGCTTTTTTAATAATATGGAATGCTATAAATTCTATCATGAAAGTAGCTAATATCCATGTTTCATAAGAAATGGCACTATTGTTTGAAACTGAAGATTTGAAATACAGTGTATGCAGCTACTATCAAGCATTCAGAAGAGAAAAAACAGGTAAGCTAATAGAAAAGTGACCACTGTGCAGAGAAGTGAATTTCATTCACCTTCTTGCTACTAGTAGCAATAAATTTTTCGTTCCATGGCTGTGCTATATTCCTTTCCTTAGAAGGCTATTAATATCTTCAAACTAGATCTGGTACACCCAGGAAATAGGAAAAAACATTGATGAATGAACATGATAATCAGGGCCTAAAACACATCAGACACTTTGAGATTGGGTTAGAAACACATTTTAACAAAGCTCAAGAATAAGACATTATCTTGTGAATTTATATCTATCACCAAGGCTCCCTTAATGGATGTAAAATGTCAGCCTGACCAGAACAAGCTCAAGAAAGACTTAAACTGGAAGATGAATACAATTACTGACTGAGCCATGAATCTTATTTTTTTTCTAGGAGAAATGCTAAGCCAATCAAGAGAAATGAAGACTGAGTATGTATGTAGATAGAGATAAGCGCATTAATTTCCAATTCCATTTAAACTCCCTCAGATCAAGTACAAAGCCAGAGGGTCTAAAGCATAGTAATCTACAAATAGATGCATAAAGATTTTTCCACATAATGGTCTTGATTGCTATAAGCAGTTCCAAATTAAACAAACAAAACAGTTGTCTTCAAGTGCCAGTATTTAATTTCAAATCAGCTAAATATCATATCAACATAACCCACTGATTTGAAAATAAAACCAAAGTTTTCTTCCTTCTTTTTCCTATAAAATATTCTAGCTAATATAACATATTTGTAAAAATCATGTAAATTTTTTAATCCCAGCCGCTGTAAAATTGAAATAAGATTGAATATCTCTCTCTCTTACATCTTATGGAACAAACAGTCTAAAATGGGTAATAGGTTCTGATTTATGCAAAATCTATGAAAAACAGTGACTTCCTAAAGAGGTACTTTTTCTTAAGAGATACTTTCTTATGAGCTTGAGGAAATGGTTTAGATAGTAGAGCAAAGAATACAAAATAGATATGACTCAAAGAAAAGCTTTATCATCAAAGGCACAGCAGAAGGTAATTAACAAACCTCTATATTTATAGAGAAACAGATGCTATTTTTAAATACATTATAGGAAACCAGAGCAGAAACACTATTTTCTTTATTCAAACAAGAAATCAACATTTTTATTTCTTTTCTTAACAGATTTCTTCCTAAGAAAAATACCATTTCAACCATGGTTTGGCTCACACACATACACACAAAAGCAACTTAAAAGGAATGCTGTTCTGAAAGTCGGGGGGTGAAACAGGATGAAAGACATAATTTATTTACCAGAAGCAATTATCCTTATCTGGGAGGACAGCTGAAGGAAGTCACCTCATACTGCACCTTACCTGGACTAGCTTAGGGAAAAGCACACATGTATAATTGTACAGAATTTTATAACAAAGAACAAGGGC